ATGTGTCCTCTGGACCCAGGGCTCCTGTACTGAGAACCTCCTAGCGGTGGGGAGCAGAGATGCCTAGCCACGTGAAAATTGTCCAGGAGAGAGAAGGTGGTTCCTCCAGATCTGACACCTGGAGCCAGCGCCCTGAATTTGCAATTCTAGCTTCCTCAGTTGTGAGAAAATAAATTTCTGTGAGAGCTACCCACTTGTGGTATTTCTCTTACAGCAGTTATTGCAGTACTAGATAAGTAGCATCGAATTTGGTACTGGAAATGCTCTGCTAGTCTAACATATGCCTGAAGTAGGGAAGCAGTTTTGGAATTGGGTGATAGGCAGAGGCTGGATGAATTTGAAGGTACCTAGTAGTCAAAACCTAGATTGTCTTCCAGAGATTGTTGGTGAAATTACGGTGTCCAAGGCAAATCTGGCGAGGGCTCAGAAGGAAATGAGGAGCGTTGGTAACACCAGCTATGGCCTAGACAGCAAGGAGCGGTGGCAGACGAATGACAGCAGCGGAACCCGAGACTCTGCGACAGGTTCAACCCTTTGTGTCTTCGGGTAGGAGGCTTCCTGTGGGAGCAGGGTACCTCTGGCCCCTTGTTGATGGAGTTAGACTTGCTGATTCATGGAGCAAAAAAGGCTTCCTGGCAGGACATGGAGGTTTCAGGGACTCATGGGTACGGCTAAAGGGCTTTGGTATGCTGTGCCTACCCAAGATGCTAGAGGGGTTGAGGGGTAAGAGGCCAAGGAAACAGAAGGTAAAGGTGAGGAGGCAAGGAACACAGCAAGCAGAGCTGCCTCCGGGACAAAGGGTAGGCCCACGACCTCTAGGGTCTCAAAGGGTGCAACCACAGCCCAATCAGTCTCAAAGGGTAGACCCACGACCTCCAAGAGTCAAATCCTCACCCACTGGATTCCCAAGCATGGGGCTGCTGTTCAGGAATGCCAGAAGTAGAATGGGCCTTGATAGGCTTACCAAAGTCAAGCTGATAGGATCGCCATGCCCAACGGGAAGGAAAATGATGCCTGCTAAGACCAAGGGTGGTGTGGGGTTGCCACTCAGTTGGAGTATGGGGCTCCCCAAAGCTGAGAGAGCGGAGATACTGTGAATCTCAGCAGGCCTGCAAGATACCTTCACCTAGGATCCAGAAAGGATGCCCAACGTCTAGATTCTAGAGCAGCGGTTCTCAACCTGTGGGTCACGACCCCTTTGGGGATCGAACGGCCCTTTCACAGGGGTCGCCTGATTCATAACAGTAGCAAAATTACAGTTATGAAGTAGCAATGAAAATAATTTTAAGGTTGGGGGGGGGTCACCACAACATGAGGAACTGTATTAAAGGGTTGCGGCATTAGGAAGGTTGAGAACCTGTCCTAAAGGGAAGAGCCATTGCTTTGACAGTTTAAAAGAAAGAGGATTATTTTTCAAGTTTGAGAGCGAATGTGAATTTTTCTACTTTTTTTTCTTTTCTTCTGCTTGGTACCTGTTCTCCCTTCTTTTCCTCCTGTGTGTATTGTATTGGAAATGTTTACCTTGTGGCTGTTTCACATTGTCCTTTGGAAGCAGATGATTGTATTCTTAAGTCGCATATTAACAGGAATTTTGCTCCAGTATGGAATTTGGACTTGGGGTTGATTGAAGACTTTGGGGATGACATAGCACAACGAAAACGGTTTACTTGTTGGAAAAATATAAATATTGGAGCTGGGGGTTGAATGTCATGGATGGAATTGTGTTCCTTCAAAATATGTGTCCAACTTTTCCCTAGCGTAGGCATCCTGAATTTGGACTTCCAGTCTCCTAATCTGGTAGAAATTCATTTTGATTGTTAACACCCCTCATTTGTGGTATTTCTGATCCAGCAGCACTAGATATCAAAGACAATGGGTATGTGTGAGTTGGCCTAGATAGAAATACCCATATGAAACCTAGATGTGTTGAAAAAAGACTTTTACGGAGCTGATAATTCATGTTGTAGGACTTGGATGCTCTTCTCAAGCCCCCCAAAGCAGTTCTAAGAGTTGGAAATTTCCATCTAGAACATCAGAAATCTCCATTCTCGGGTGACCTGACCTGCAATTTTATGAGGCTGTTGTTATAAGCAATGAAAGTCAGTTGTTATAAGCAGTTCCTATAAGCAAAGATAGAAATTGGTACCTATTAGAGGAGTATTTTTAAAGATAAAAATGCAAGAAATAAGAGCAATAAAAGCTCAAGAACATGATTTGATTCCCTTACTGTTTCCAGTATAACTGCCAAAGAATGGGCAGGTCGGAAGAGGAGGGCAGCATCACTTTGAGAAAGATTATGCAACACCAGGGAACCAAGGGCAAAACCAAATGACAAATGCAGATAAATATTTAGGTTTGTTCATAATTGTAAAGCTACTTTTCTTTGTGAGAAAATCCTACATGAGATTTTAGCATTTTTATATCGAAACAATGGTTAGTTAGCCAAGGTTAGAAGGAAATGGAAAGAATTCCAGATCGTTCTGTCAGAATTTTGGAAGAATCCAATGACAGACGAAATTTAGACTCAACACCAACATAATGCTGCAGAAACGGAGATTTCAATAACCATGCTTATACATTGTGACAGTTTATGAATTTAAAAACCTAGCAATGTTTTAGGACATATATTCAGCCATTAGAAGGGATACCATAGGAGAGGTGAATGCTTTTTAGAGAGAGAATTTGGATCTGTTGCTACATTGAAAATGGAAGAGGAAGTAATCTTGAAAGTATTCTAATGATTATTAAGCACATTTATACATCCACAACTAAAAAATCAAAAGCTGCTAGGAGATACAAGTGGGCTGGTAAGAGTGTAGGTGGCTAATTATATTGACTGTCGATTCAAATAAAACTATAAGTATTAATTTTCAAATTCATTGTGTAATTAACACATGTGGAAGACTATTTAAGAGAGCCCAGATAGCATGTGTAAATGGAATTAATGAGAGTATTAAAGAAAAAAATGAATTAAGAAAAGTCAAATGTTTCTTGTGAAAATTACTACCTTAAGGGATTTTAAAGGAACCCCCAAACAATTCAAAATTTCAAAACCACAAAGCAAGACATTTCAACAGTCATATGTGATCTGGACAATTGATTAAACCTTTCCTACAGATAGTTCTCTACATTGATGGGTGAAATAATTTCTTAGATGGCTTCCAGCGCCACACTACTAATCTATATTTGCTAGTATGTTTCATACTGAGGTAAGTCAGGTTGAGAACTCTCCCCTCCACTTAACTATTAAATACCATTACATTGTAGCCTGATTATCTTCTTCGGACCCAAAGGATAAATTTGCCTAACCCACCCAGCAGAGCCTTTAAAATGTTGACAGCAATGAACTGTGAATATTGACTCACCATTTAGGAATCCTCCCCTCTTCCTCCACTTAAAAATAAAATGTTTTTGAGTGTGTAGAAGGAAGAATATAGGCCTAGCTATCAGATAAACCTGGTTTGAATGTTATCTATTACTTTACTAGCTGGTTACAATAACAACTGGGTTTCTTTATCTGGAAAAATTATAGCTAAATGTCCTTCCACCTTCCCCCTCCAAAGGAGAGCATTCAGATCAACACATTTTGAGATCTCCGGTCCGTTTCTTATTTATCATCCTTTAAAACCTAACTAGAAAAACAAAACAGATTTGATTGTTTTTAGAGTCTTAAACTAAAGAAACCAATGATGGCTTCCAATAACAACCCTTTAAACAAAATGGAATGAAGCAAGTCTCACAAATAATAAAATCCAGCCAGTCTGACAGGTTTTGAATACTAAAGGGATTTCAGGCGGGAGGGATTACATCAACAGACACCTGCAGGATTCTTCTGCATAGCGGTACAGCGGGCCATTTCTGCGCTTATGAGCAAGATTTCCAAAATGTCATGGGAAAATTAGTCCCCATTTTCAATATTGGGCTTTGAAGTCTTTAATATAAAGTCAGTTAGGGTCTAATTTAGTTGCTAAGACGTCTGTGTTAGTTAGATAGGCTTAACCCTCCGAAGCCCCCCGCCCCCCAACCCACCCCCCTTCCTCTGCAGAGCTCCAGACCCTCCATTTTGCCAGGAACTTCAGCATTCCGCACTTTTCCCTCGCTCTGCCTTTTATCTTTCTTCTTCTGGGCTTCCACCCCCACCCCGCAAGGCTGCTTCCCCTTTTCCCTCTTTGCTTTCACCCATCAGTGGTCAATGTAGGAAACGGAAGTATCTATTTGTTGCTGGGTGTAGTAGGATTCTTTAATTAAGGGAAAGAAGGAGGGGGAAAAAAAATACAACCCCAAACCTCCCTCCGGGTTCTTCCTGTTGCAGTGAGTTGGCTCCCCAAGTCGTCCTCCCGCAAGGGGACAGCCCCGCCAAACTGTGCTTGACTACTGGGAGAAGGTTCCAGTCTGCTGGGGGGGTGGGGTGGGGTGTCTGAGTCTCCCACCGCCAGGAGAGACCCCCCGCCCCCCCGAGTGAACGCACGGGCTCGGGACCCCGGGAAGCCA